TTGATATGATAAAACATAAAGCCTGCAACCACTGTTCTTGTCATAAAATCGGCTTAAGCCTGCAGTTTGTGAAAGACTCCGGATACTCCGACTAAAAAAAAAAAATCGGATACACCGACTCATCTCATTACTGCTGGGTACGTCTGTACATCCGTGTACATGCAAACACCTGTGTGCGTGTGCATGTCCGTCTTCTTAGATTCACATGTAGGCATCTTATTTCATATCATCATATGATCAAATATAAAGCCTGCACCGACTCATCACTGTTGTGTTTTTAATGAACTCGGGTTAAGCCTACAGTCTGTGAAGAATCCGGATAACCAACGAGAGTAGCTCAGTTCGTACACTCACGAACCGATGAAATACCGACCCAAGTTCGAATCCCGATGCAATCAGATGCCCAGAATAATATAATTATGAGCTACCTGGAGCTGGCCAGCTTCAATGATGATATCCCAAGGCCGTTACCCTCTAAAAATAAAATAAAAAAAGAATCCGGATACACCTCGAATACAACTCGTGCGTGCCAATGCTTACCGGGCTGAGAGAGAGATACAGCCTACAGTCTTTCACAGCCTCCGTCATTGTTGCGGCAACGAAAATGGTCTCCAAATGGAGGCAGTATCGACATCCAAAAAGCATGCCAGAAGACAGAAGATCTTCTGTAATAGCATGACAGTGAACTGATCCTTTAACTACCACGCGAGAAAACGATGAGAGGAGAAGGAGAGAGAGAAGGAGATGGAGGGAAGGAAAAGGGAGACAGCGGGAAGAGACCATGCAACCAACATACGGGCTAGGGACTGACAAACGCGAAGACCAGAACCCGCAACCGACCCAGAAGGGCGCAACGGCAGGCCGGATAGGAAAGGTCGGACGAAATGGAAAGGGAGAGGAGCGCAGGCTCGCGCATGACTCGAAACTTGGTCTATGGATTGGCAATTCCAGATCGGACGGCATAAAACCATTCAAAAAAGAGGCAAGAAGGGCCGTGAGAAGCTTTGCACACACACACACACACACACACACACAGAAACAGACATGCTTTTTTGTGTGGATGTGTATAAGGAACATGACAACACACAAACAAACAGACAGGAGTGAACCCATGACAAAACAACAGCAAGACAGACTGCTTCTCTAGTTGCCAGCGACGAAAGGAGAGAGTGTTCTTCACTCACTAAGGAACTGTCGCACTATTTCTATCCCGCTAGCTGATGGGACAGTACGTCCGTCGAAGGTCATCTGGCACAACTCGTAGAGTTGTTGAACGGCAGTCATTGGGGCCCTGGAGATAGACTGCCTAGGGGACAGCGGTGTAAATCCTCCTGCTGACAACGCCGGCGATCGCTCAGGAGGTACCTTCTTCAGTGTAGCTGCTGGATTCCCGGGAGAGAGTTGAGCGAATGCTCGAGCAATATCCTCCGCGTCACACGAAAGAGTCGAGTCCCCAACCACCTTCACCTTCATTGCTCCTCCCCGCTGCTTCAAGCGCCGATTCGACGCCTTGACCTCGCTTTGCAAAATAGAGCCCTCCATTCACATCAGCTACTACGAACTCTTTCCTCCCCTCCACACCACACAAACGGAGGTTTAATCCTTCTCCCCTGCAGCCCTCCACACCAAAATCAAGTATCACACAAATGGGGGTTTAATCCCTCTCCCCTGGAGTAACGTCATTCAAATGCCAGTACGCTCGCAAACAGATTGTCTTCCTTTCGTCAGTGACCTCCCTGTACGACGTCTCTCACTGCGTCTAACAGATCGACTCAACAAGGCCCAATCTATATTGACTACTTTCATCAGAGGCACACGGCTTCTTCTTTCTACTTCCTCTCATTATCAAAACCCCTCTTACAAACGTCTTCTCAATTGCGATCTCTCTCTCTCTCTCTAAACCCCTCTTACAAACGTCTTCTCAATTGCGATCTCTCTCTCTCTCTCTCTCTCTCTCAAAACCCCTCTTACAAACGTCTTCTCAATTGCGATCTCTCTCTCTCTCTCTCTCTCTCACACACACACACACACACACACACACCCCGACACAAACGCCCTGTGAATTATGCAAAAGAACTGAGATATGTTCTAATTGTCACTCATGGGTTGGAGCTCGGATGGTTTCA